ATATACCGGGCCCTTCCCAGCCGGTCCAACAGTTCATCCACTCAAGGCATGGGGTATCCGTCGAACTCGGATTCCTCGTTGAGGCGACGGAAGTCGTTGCAGAAACGGAGGGTGCCGTCCTGCTTCGGAACCATCACGATTGGGCTTGACCACGGGCTGCGTGATGGTTCTATCACCCCCAACTTCAGCATTTGTTGGATCTCTTCCTCTATAGCTCGCCGACGACTACTAAAACTGTACTCTTTACAGGCAAATTATTGTACACAAATCAAATTAATCTAAAACACAAATTTCACGAATGCACACAATAATAGCGTGCATACGCCGTCAGAAATCAGTGCATGTTTCAATTTTTAAGAAAAGCATTTTTATTACTTTTTTTTTCTGCCAAAACACCAGCTCCAGCACTATCCTCAGCATCCTGAGCTGCAAAGCTTCCCGATGCGCGAGTTCAGCGCGCGCAATGACAACATGTTTGTGATTGAATCCTTTCTTTCTTATGTGTTTCCAGTGTCAGAGTGCACCGATAGGTGGCAGTGGATATCTCAGGTAGAAATTCCCAATATATCCCAGCAGCCGACCAGCGACTAACCACAGCTGACAACCAGAGACGCACACTGTCACACACACACACACACACACACACACACACACACGGAGAGAGCGCAGGAGTCTCGCGCAGAGTTTCACCAAACAGAAAGTGCTAGAGTCGGGGAACGGGCACTTCACGCCGCCGGAGCCGGAGACACAGCAGTCGGACGGGGACTCGTACGGATACATCTCGTATCGGAGTTGTGAGCAATGCGCTGGCAGCATGGCCAGATGGTTTAAGGAGCACCTGGGTTTCAAAACCACCAAAGCCCCGCCACCGGCGCCTCCTAAACCGGACTACCGACACTTCCACACCGCCGTCTCCAGCACTCCGGCGTTCCACCTCCAGCAGCAGACGGGCACCGGGTTAATGTCCGCGCAGCCCGACATCCTCACCGCCTACAAACTCCAGAAGGAGCTGGACTTCGAGGATCCGTACACGCCGGGCGGAACCGTGCCCTTCTCCACCGGACTGAGTTCCGCGGGCTCGCCGGACGTCAAGTACGTGTCTCCGAAGCACCGGCTCATAAAGGTGGAGACGGTCGAGCGCAGCGGCTCGAGCTCGGGCAGCAGTAGCGGGGCGACCGCGGTCAAATCCCCCAGCTCTCCACCCGTCGAGCCCGAGAACGGCAAGCAGGAGAAGGTAAGAGCGAAGCCTGCACACTCACCTCCACAGGTAGGCTCCATACGGCGCAGAACGGGACACGGAGCATCACTCAGTCTACTCAGTGTTATATAAAATCTGAAAATATATTTCGATTTTTACTAACTTTTTTTCAATGATTTTGAATATTTTTTAAAATGTAGTAAATCAGTTCTATATTTATTTTGAAAATATTTTTTTTGTTCATATTAAATAGTGCATTTAGTAAAAAAATTTTTTTGTTAAATTTAGTATAGACAAGTAAAAATAAATATACAAATATAAATATAAAAATGTGTGTTTTTGTATATATATATATAAACATTCACGGGTAGTGTCATCACAGTGTGAAAATATTTGACAATAACAGGGTTTACACATTCTGGCATACTTTGTGAGGGTAAAGGCCATGCTTTAGCACAGAAGGTCTGCGTCAGAACCGGTAAGACGAGTTGTTTTATGTGCTCCACAACGGTTACGAGCAGGGAGGACGCTGTTACCGACATCCAGAAACACAATCCGTGGGTCTGAGTTTGGGTTTGACTGCTGTTAACATCCATAAACGTCTCTGAGCTGCTTGAGAATCCACATCCGCAGAGGTCTTACATGGCTTTGGGTTATTCTTGATATTTTAGGAATTGTAGAGTGCCCATATGTTATATTGGTTTCCATATATTTTTTGGGGTGGAAATGAAAATGGATCGTTAGACCTTTATTATCCAGAAGATTGTTGCTCCAGAAGGTGGCTGTGTTTTAGATTCATCCAACACATGAGAGTCAAACCATGCAGGATGAAAATATGCAGAGGTCAACAGTAATGGTGACCTTTGACATCCAGTGAAAGTCAGTCATTTGCCCTAAAATCTTATTGACCATTTTTTAACGTTTTGCACTGCTTAGTATTGATACATTTTATGGTGTGATCAGTGAAAATGTTGGTAGGTGGAGTGAAAATCTGAATGCATGCACACGTGCTTGGATGCCGTGTTGAGTTCATTTGTGTAGTGTTTATTTTAGTATTTACGTGAGTGATCACAAATGTATAGCTCGTTCAGAATACTTCCTCCGCGCTTCATACCTGCCACACCTTGTCCTGCGAGGTGCGGCCTGTGCGCTCTCCGTACGCTCTCAGGTTAGTGATATGATGCAAGTGGAGACGGCATGCTTCAAACAGTGCTGTCATATAGTGCACACGCACCCGCAGGTGTCCCAACTATCTGGTTATCTTCAGTTAGGGTGCATACTAACTACAGGCTGGTGACTGACACGCTGTTGTCGCTGTCATTCTCGTTCTAGCCGAGCTGATCAACACTTCAGGCCTTCACAGGCATCATGCTCGTGGACTGCCTGTCAAAGCCAGACAACATGCAACTGACTCATCAATCCTGGTAAATACCGCAGCTTCTGCGCTGTCTAATTAAAAGAGTTCAGCTGCAGTCGCTCAGAGAGTGTTGTTTGTGCTGGTCTGCGCTCTTATCAAATGCTGTTTGTCCCGATTGCTGAATTGCAAGGTTGTTGAAGGAAAAGTTACTGCATAAGATCATATGGGAAAGCACAGGTGTGTGTGTGTGTGTGTGTGTGTGTGTGTGTGTGTGTCTATGGGTTAGGACACTAACCATCTGCTTCCATTGATGGCCATTCAAAAGTAGCTGTGTGTTCAACGTACAGTGTTTGCTACATATTGTTTCTGAAAGAAGTCTCTTCTGATCACCAGGGCTGCATTTATTTGATCAGAAATACATAAAAATTGTGAAATATTATTACAATTTCAAACAGCTGTTTTCTATGTGAATATATAGTAAAATGTAATTTATTTCTGTGATCAAAGCTGTATTTTCAGCATCATTACTCCAGTCTTCAGTGTCACATGATCTTCAGAAATCATTCTAATATGCTGATTTGCTGCTCAAGAAACTGCAGTGACCCTAAAAATTAAAAAGCAATAGTTCACCCCAAAATTAATTTACTCACCATCAGGCCATCCAAAATGTAGGTGACTTTTTTCTTCAGTAACAGTGAAGAAGGTTTTTAGCTGAAACTGTGGTCCATGGTGATTCATAAAATGCAAGTCAATGGCTACCGTCACTTTGACAGTCAAAAAAAGCATAACGCAGGACACCAAATGAATCCCTGTGGCTCCTGATGATATTTTGAGGTCTTATGAAGCGAAACGATCAGTCTGTGCAAGAAACAACATTATTTACAGCATTATTACTGTAATCCAGAGCTTCAGATAAAAGGGGAGATCTGATTATTTTCCTCGAACTGGTTCTTTCAGACAGTTCGTTTCAATGAACTGATTCAAATAACCGACTCACTAGTTAATTTGCATGATCACACAATGACATAACGTATGCACAATTATATTATTAAAGCAGCCAATAATGATGTAAATCATGGATGTTTTACGTGTATAAAGAATATAAAGTGAATAAACTAGTCTTCATCAGCTCACCTTTTTACATAAACAATGAGAAACCATAAAAACGTTCATTTGGCCCTTCATTCATGCTCTCGGTTCATGCATGCGCAGATCAGCGGCTCATCTGTGTTCAGTCCGAGTCGAACTGTTTCCTCAGTTCAGATGATTGTTGGAGGAACTAGAGCACTGAATCAGTTCATTCATCATAGAATCAGATACGCCGGTGTTTCGGCTCATTTCCAGTCGGAGTGACTGTCAGGCGTCTGAAAGTGAGCTTTGATTGAGGAACTTGTAGATCTGTGCTGCTTGAGCCACGAATTGATTCAGACGATTCAACTAGTTCAACAGTTCAAAAAGAAACGGTTCAAAAGAATGATTCGTTCATGAACCGGGCTTTCACAACGGACCGTTTGCCTGAGGCTCTGGATTACAGTAATAATGCTCTAAACAATGTTCAGTTTCTTGCACAGACTGAGCGTTTCGCTTCATAAGACCTCAATATATCATCAGAAGCCACGTGGATTCATTTGGTGTCCTGCGTTATGCTTTTTTTGACTGTCAAAGTGACGGTAGCCATTGACTTGCATTTTGTGAATCACCAAGGACCACATTTTCAGCTAAAAACCTTCTTCACTGTTCTACTGTAGAAAAAAGTCACCTACATCTTGGATGAGTAAATTAACGGCAAATCTTCATTTTTGGGTGAACTGTCCCTTTAACTAGCTATTAACAGAGTTTATAGAGCCGTGCTGTGTTAGAAACACTAAACTGTGAGCAGAAGCATTGTCATATTTTGTGAACGCAGGCATCAAAGATTCGTTATCCGTGTGTGAAGCGCTTAGACGCGTTATCGTTATGCTCTGTCCATCGCAGTGCTTCTGCTCGCTCATACTGAATGGTGTTTATCGACTGCTGAGGCTGAAACACAAGTATCCTGCTAGTGCTTTGAAAAGGCCAGCTAATGTCTTAATTACTTGACAAGTGGATGATAATTATGGAAATGCTTTCCTAATGCTCGGAATGCCAATATCTGTGTCAAGCGTTTTGCTCTATCTTGATTTTGAAACAACAGCAGTGTTCAGTCAATTGCTTCAGTTTGTTGAGCATCGAGTGAAATATTTAGTCAGATTTAATCTATATAATTGACGTTTCAGATGCATTCAGTTCCTTTTTAAGGGTAGTTTTTGCCATTGCAATGCTCAAACCCTTCACATTCATGTTTGTAGAAATGACTGTGTTTGTGCTGTTGGTACTAACCTAGAATTCAGTACTTTACCAGCTTTAGAGTTTTAAACTAATAATTAACATTATAGCATTCTATTTACATTGTACAGACTTTGTTGTGTTTAATTTAGTGTTGTCAGAAGTATCAGCACTTTGGTACCACGTCTGCAATGTAAAGATGTAACGGTGTCTGCTCAGCGTTTGAACATAATGGCCAATCCGAGGCATTTAAAGCAATAGTTCACCCAAAAATTATCATTCTGTCATTATTTACCTTCCCTCACGTTGTTCCAAACTTGTATGAGTTTCTTTTTTCTGCTGAACACAAAAGAAGATATTTTGAAGAATGTTGGTGACCAAACAGCTGCTGGTAGCCACTGACTTCCATAGTATTTTTTTCCCATATTATAGAAGTCAATGAGTTTCATCAACTACTTGGTTACCGATATTCTTCAAAATATCTTCTTTTCACTTGATATTTTAAAACAGTGTTTACGTCTACATACAGTTTTAAAGTATTATTTACTTAAAATTTACTTACCATGATTATTAATAAACTCATGGTTAAATAAAATCCTTTAAATTGCTCAAACATTTTTTTTTCTGTTTTCTTTTTTCTACTGAAATTGTTGCAGAGAGCCGTGAAATGTTACTGTAGTGACACCGACTACTGAGATTTTGGTATTGCGACAACACGGATTTATTTATTATAATTAAAACATAAATAATTAAATCTTTTTTTTGCCAGTATGGTAAGCAGACCGGCTGATAGCATTAGCTTATGATTTCTTTGCTGCTCTTGTGTTTTTGTTGTTGTGATTAGACCTTCTCAGCTGAGAGCGTTTGTAAGATGATCAATTATCATTTTAAAGTAGTGTTAATGAACAACACCCTCAAAGCACACACACACGCACACACACACACACACAC